CGCGGGGTGGGAGAGGCGGGGACGGGTGGCAGACCCACCGTCACGCTGAGTTTCCAGCCCCGCCTGGGGGGAGATGGCGCTGGCCGTTCGGGAGTGTCCAGGCCGGCTGGAGTACTTCCTGCAGGGCAGGTCAAAGAAGGCATTTAAACTAGCAAAATGGCAAACAACGAGGCCCTGCTGTGCAGCACAGGGAGCTAGATCCAGCAACCTGTAATAATCTACAATGGGAAAGAGTCTGAAAAAGAATGTGTGTGTGTGTGAACATAACTGAATCACTCCACTGTACACCCGAAACCAACACAACGTCGTAAGTCAACTCTACTTGCGTAAAAAAGTCAGGGATTGCCTAGAACAAACAAGCAAAAACAAACCAGCAAAATGACTGACAGAGACGATCTTTCAATCTCTTCCTGAAGTTGCAGTTTTAAATTGTACCCATAAAGTGGTTGATCAGGGTATAGGAGGTCTGTACCAGTTAAAACGAAGAACGGAATTTAAAAAGTGTCATCTATGTGTAATCAACAAATTCTCTGATGGGACACTGTGACTGTTCCACATCCCTACTGAGCACAAGCAAGAATAAAGTGGTTCTAAGATACAGAAAATAAAGATAAATTTCTTCTTACGCCTGACTTTGAGTTCCTTGGAGGCAGGGTTCTGGACGCTGCGTCCTGCCCAGCGCAGAGCCTGGCGCGTAGCAGATACAGATGCTCAGCTAGTGTTTCGTTGGATGAGTGACTACATTCACTTACAGTTTCACTGGAGGCAGAAAACTAGACCAAATAAACTGTTATTGAACAGGCTGAGAAGGAAACGCCGAGCAGCCCTGAGGCTGAGGAGCTGGCCGGGCGCGCGGTCGGGTCATCCTCCCTCTCCCTGGACGGAAACGCCCTCGGCGAACACAGCCCAGGCGAGCGTCCCAGGAGACTGTGACGACACAGGCAGCACAAGGCCACGCCATAGTTTTGTCTAAGCACAGAGGAAAATAAGGTCAGTGTGCCACCCGCTGGGCACCGACAGCCCCTGTCTCAGCCAGAACGAGTGTTTGCCGCTTCTTTACAAAGGACAGCCTATCCTCGGGCCAGCCTTCCCTCCCTACAGAGAAGACCCACCGAGATACCTGCTTCCTGACAGCCTCCAGTCTGGGGCCCACCCCCTTCCGGAGATGCTCCCCAAGTCCCTAAGAAGGCCTCTCTGAGCCCCTCCTCCTGGGATGCCCCCAGCCCCTGGCCGGCCCACTCCCCGTGCACCCGACCCGCTTAGCCCCAGGGCTGCTCCTGGGCGCTTGGCCGAAGGGCGCGGGCCAAGTGAGCAAAGAGGGAAAAGCGCCCTTAACCCCAGGGCCGCGCGGGCCCGGTGAGAGCCCCAGACCCGTGAGAGCTGCGTGGCTGCAGAGCGCCTCCTGAGAGAGGAGGGTCTTGGCTGTTGACACCTGACTGCGTTTCCCGGCACTATCCTAAGCCCTTCTCAAGCGTTATTTCGTCACGCATCGTAGGCACTGTCACTGGCCCTGTTTGTGGATGAGGAGCTGAGGCACAGAGAAGTTACCTCCCCAAGGTCAGACAGCTGGTAAGGGGTGGAGCCAGGGTTCAGCTCCACCATCTGACCCCAGAGCCCCAGCTTCAGACAACTAGGACTCTGAAGGGAGAAGGGAGGTACGGGAGCAAGGCATGCGGAAAGGCCCGGGGGCCCTGCTCCTGACCCCGTCGCCCCCCCCCCCCCCGCCCCCGTCCGACCCCACCCCGCCCCGTCCGCCGTCCCCGCCCCCGTCCGGCCGTCGACCTCCCACCAACGGACC